GAGAAGGTGGAGACTCGGCTCCATGAAAGAATCGCCCTCCCTTCATCCAAGCTACCACTAGATTTCTCTCCCAGCAACTCAAATCGGAACACACCACTCCTCCCCTCAAAGACCTGCAGTGGCTCCCTATTGCCTCCAGAGCAAAGTTCCAACTCATACCATGGATTCGAATTGACCTACCATCACCCAGGCTGCCTTTTGGGCCTTGTTTCCTGGACTCCCTTCTCTGGGTGCCTGTCGATGTGCCACGGTGACAAATCCAGGTGTTTTCATGGCCCTCTGCTTCCACTTACTTCCATATTCAGCCACATCTGGAAATCTGGAGTGCTACCACCTGGGTGTAATTTAGTGGGCCAGTGAGTCCCTTCTGTGTAGGAGGAAAAGGGCTGCGAACTTCACTCTGTGAAACTTAGAAGCCAGACAGACAGAAAGCTCACTTTGTACTCTTAACCGTCCCTGCCAAATCGCTGACAATCCCCAGCTTGGCGGCGGCGGGGCTGGTGGCCATGAATGGGTGCTGACTCATCACTTGTTTCTGGTTCAGACCCTCTGACAAGTTCCAGGCCGGCAAGGCTCAGTCACGGCAGGAGCAACAGAGATTTCATTTAGGTGAGGGATGGATGCCCTCTGCTCCCGTGGGCGGAACGGAAACCGCAAGTCTAGCATGTTCTGAGGGGCCTTATCAGGCAGAGAGGATGGAGCCGAGGACCCTCCCAGCTCAGCAGACACGTTCCGTGTCTAGACAGCTGTTTTACGGCTGCTACTCGGCTCAGGGTCAGATACGTGTACAAGGCTGCTCTTTGTCACATGGTTTTCTTGACCCGATTTCCACCATCTTAATCTTTCTGTCCTCTTTCATATACACAAGTATGTTAAACATGTAAATGACACAAGGTGAGAACACTGGCTAGTGTCCGTGCTCTGTGTCAAGCCAGCTTTCTGTTACTGTCACTAACACCTGAGATAATCCACTTATAAGAAGGAAAGGGTTATTTTGGATCCTGGATTCAGACGTCTCAGGCCTGCTCAGTGTGACTGACTGGTTTTGAAGTCTGTGTGAGACAGCACATTAGGGCGAGAATGGGTGACAGGGCAAAGCTTCCCACCTCACAGCAGCCAGGAAACAGAGAAAGAAGAAGAGACTGCGGTCCCAGTATCCCCTCCCCAGTGACTGAACTTCTGTCCACTAAGTTCTACCTCCTAGAGGTTCTATCACCTCCCAGTGGCACTACAGGTTCGGACCAAGCCTTTAACACTCGTCCCTGGGGAACACTCCCAATCTGAACTTCAGCAAACTCTTTAACATTTACCTCCCTATATGCACAAAGAAAAATAATAACCATTTCTATTTTGGCTGACACCATAGTTGGTGCTTAGTAAGTTAAAATTATCATCTCAAGTCCAAGGTCAACAAATATTTTCTGTAGATGGTCAGGTAGTAAATATTTCGGGCACTGTGAGTCACCAGCCCAAATTAATGGCATCCTGTAAGCACCTTGCATAATAAAACAAATTTCTACAAGATTTTTATAGATGAAATTAAAAATACAGCAATCATTAAATGTATTTTAGTCTTGAAATCTAGATCTACTAATGAGAAGAGCCAAATTCTTTTGGGGGGGAGAAAATGTGTCACTTCCTTGAAGAGTGCCAGGGTGTCATTTACGGATCGGATGTAAAAGCCACGAGATGTGGTAGAGAGAACTTGGCTTTGGAGTCAGGTTTTATTTCACCCAAAACCAACGTAATACAAAAGACGGAATGCAGACGTGGCCCTCTAACCCCAGCTTTGCCTCCTGTCCCTTGTGCTAGGAGCTGATCCTGGATCTCTCTGAACCTCAGTTTTGCCATCTCTAAGGGGGGAATATAATGATTTTCCTAATGTGGAGATAACTCTAGGAGGAGAAACAATTCTTTGATTTGCATCCAGGGTAATAGCATTGAGGGCCAAGTCCTGAGCTGAGTACTGGCCCCCGATCGGAACTAAGGGCATGGAATCTGTCATCACTGCTGGGCCTTTCAGGAGCAGAAGAGGACTCAGAGGGGCTCAAAGATTTAAAGGGAGCTGTGCAGACACTTCTCAGAAGAAGATATAAAATCAATCAACAAATATATGAAAAAAATGTTCAACATCTCTAGCAATTAGAGAAATGCAAATGAAAACTACTCCAAGATTTCATCTCACTCCAGTAAGAATGGCAATTATGAGCAATACAAGCAACAATTAAGTGTTGGCGAGGATGTGTGGGGAAAGGCACACTCACACGTTGCTGGTGGGACTGCAAATTGTTGCAACCACTTTGGAAAGCAGGAATGAGATTCTTTAGAAAACTTTGAAACAAACCAACATTTGACCCAGCTATCCCACTCAGAGGACTTACAATCAGCATACTACAGTGGCACAGCCTCATCAATGTTTATAGCACCTCAATTCACAATAGCTAAACTATGGAACCAACCTAGGTGCCCTTCAACAGATGAATGGATAAAGAAAATGTAGCATATATACACAGTGGAATATTACTCAGCCTTAAAGAAGAATGAAATTATGACATTTGCAGGTAAACTGATGGAACTAGAGAATATCATGCTAACAGAAATAAACCAAACCCCCAAACCAAAATCCAAATGTTTTCTCTGATAAGCAAATGCTGATCCATAATGGAGTGGAGTGAAGGAACTTTGGATTGTGCAAAGGGGAGTGAGCAGAGGGAAAGGGGCGTGGGGAAGGGAAGGACGGTGGAATGTGATGGACATTATTACCCTATATACCTGTATGATTACTCTACCGGCGCGACTCGGCACCATGTTCAGCCAGAGGAAGTAGAAGTTGTGCTCCATTTGTGTACAATATGTCAAAGTGCATTCTGCTGTCATGTGTAACTAATTAGCACAAATTAAAATATAAAATTTAAAAAAGAAGAAAACGATTTAATAGGATAAAACTGTCATGTTCCCATTCTTTAGAGGATGGAAACAGGCAATTTAGAGATGTGTGTTGGATGGACATGTGAAGGAGTGAACCCACAGAGGAACTCTGGTAGCTCTCTCTGCTCCTGGGGAGCGACAGGGCAAGAGAGAGGGCAGAGTCCTGGAGTCTGGTTCCCCGGCTCTCTTGCCTCCCCAGGAACTGTATAGGAACTGCAGCCAGGGAGCAGCAGGAGAGAGTTCTACTAGGGCTCCTGAGCCAGCCAGTGGCAATGTTACTGCTAATGAAAGGCAGAGTCCCCGGTGCAAAGAGGACCAGAGAGAGCCAGGGCCCCGAGGCCTCTGGGAAGCTGCTTTCCTTCTCTGAGCCGTGGGGAAGCTCTTCCTTTGCCAGGTCAGAATGCGCTCTCTGGGACCCTCCTAGCCCTTCAGACAACCCCCTGTGGCCAGTCCATCACTAGGTGGAGGAGACAGATGCACATCCCTCAGACACCCAAGCATGCAGCATGTAGGTACTCGAGAAGGTGGGGCATTCTTTCCAGCACACGACTTCAGGGGAAACTGAGTCACTTTACAGTGGAGAAACCTGTAACATCAGAGCATATCTGAATAAAGTTTGTACTGCACTTGATATGGCACAATATTGGTTAGTTGTGTCACCAATACCATATTAATGTAAAATGTAAAGAACAGAAAAAATTTGGTGTAGGGTACAAGAATCCTCTATGCTCTTTTTACCTTTTTTTTCCCTGTAAATCTAAAACTGTGTAAAAATTTAAAAGCTTGTCAAAAAAATAATAATGATGCAATGGTAAATGATCCACTCAAAGTGCAAGGCAGAGCAAGAGATCAGAATGTAACCAAGTGTGAGTGGTCTACTGAGAGGCCTCAGATTCCACATTGCAACTGATTTTTTTTTCTCAGTACCAGGGATTGAACCCAGGGGCACTTAACCACTGATCCACAGTCCCAGCCCTTTTTCTTTTTTATTTTGAGACAGGGTCTTGCTAAGTTGCTGAGGCTGGCCTTGAACTCATGATCCTCCTGCCTCAGCCTCCCAAGTCACTGGGATTACAGGCATGTGCTGTTTCACCCAGCTGCAACTGACTTTTGAGAAACCATCTCTTGTCTGATTCTGACATGCTACCAGAGAATGATATCCACAGTTATCTGGGAAGGCTACAAAAAGGCACCTCTTTTCCTTTTCCAACTTTCTATCAGTGTCAGGCCAGGTAGCCTTCATATATTTCAACCAAAACGAACGTAGAACAAAAGATGGAACACCAACGTAGCTCTGAGAATCTAGCCATCTTGGGGTTGTGGCTCAGTGGTAGAGCACTTGCCTAACATGTGTAAGGCATTGGGTTTGATCCTCAGCACCACATCAAAATAAATCAAATAAAAGTTTGTGCCCATTACAACTGAAAAAAATATTTAAAAAAAAAAAGAATCCAGCCATCTTACCTAAGTCATTAAAGAGAACTTGCAAAAAGTCCAAACAATGTTTTAAATTTCTCTTCTCATTAAATTTTTAGTTTTGGAAAACATAGCTTTGGGTAGGGGTGCTTAGTTTTGTGATGCTGGAAATTAAACCCAGGGACTTCGCTCATGCAAGGCAAGTGCCCTACCACTAAGCTGCACTCCCAGACCCAGTTATTTTAGTAATACATATCTATGTTAGCATGTTCTTTAAGTTCATGGTTGTCATTTTAATTGGATAAATATTTAAATGTTTCTCTGTTATTGTTTCTCTTATGATAAATAGCAATAGCTGTTACCCACATGAACAAAAACTGTACTGGGACCTCTCAATAATTTCTGCTATACAAAGAGTACTGAGACCAAATGATTTGAGAATTCTTGGGCTACAGCATTTTATTTACTCCTCCCAAATAACCTATTAGGTAGACAATGTAATTATCCTTCTTTGAGGATGATAAAACTGAGGAACAGAGAGGTATATGAACTTGTCCAAAGTTGCACAGGAAATAGGCGAGGGGTGGGATTCAAGCTCACTGTCATCATGCTTTCCTGACTACCTATATCATTGTGCTTCTCTGCTACCTTTCCAGTTCTGTGAGCTCTGCAAGGGAGCAGCCCCGGCCGACAGCCCTGTGGTCTACTCAGACAGGGCAGGCTACAGCAAGCAGTGGCACCCAGCCTGCTTCGTGTGTGTCAAGTGCTCCGAGCCGCTGGTGGACCTCATCTACTTCTGGAAGGACGGTGCACCCTGGTGTGGCCGTCACTACTGCGAGAGCCTGCGGCCCCGGTGCTCTGGCTGCGATGAGGTGGGTACCAGCGGGGCCGGGTGGGGAGAGGGGCTGCTCACTGTTGAGGGAGGGAACCTGAGGCCTGGGGGTTGGTGGCTCTGCTGGGGATGCACTCTCCAGACTGGGAAACCGAGGTAGAACCCCCCTGAGGCCCTCAGCCTCCGTTTCTTCCTCTGCCAAACAGGACTCACACTTGCTCCCTCCTGTAGGTGGCTGGGAGGGGTCACACAGAGTCCTGTGGGGACCTGTCCTGGGCACACCGTCCAACACTTAGTTCTCAGAAGAACACTGTGGGGTACACAGGAGGCAGATGGCCCCAGGGCCAAATCAGTCCTATGCTTCCCAAACACCTGCACCTTGGTCCTTGTCATTTATAAAGCGTAAATGAGAATAGGACCTCACCCATGGGGACAAAGGAGATAATTCAGGAAGATGCTTGCACAGGGCCTGACCTGGCTGCTCATAAGTGGTAGCCGCTGTTGGTCTCACTATGAAGTACCATGACATATGATAGAACGTGATGGAATGTGAGATGGCAGAACTACAGGAGCACAACACCACATGTAAAGAGAGTCCAGTCTCCAGTGGAGAGATGAAAGGAGCCGTAACAGTATACCAACAATGACAACCCTAATGATAATTATATGATTACAATAACAGTATGTTCTTTGGAGGCAGAAGACATACTCCCCTCATCTCTGGCACAGGCAAGGGTCTGGGATGTCTTTCTCACACTGAGCCAAAGTCTGCCATCTCCTGCCACCTTCTACCTGTTGGTCCCGACAGGAAGGGAAAAGCTTGCAATGTTACTGAATGACACAAAGAAGGAAAAGGGCTGTGGCAGGCGCACCTCATCACCTCATTATCAAGGGGACAACAGGATACTCAAAATCTCAATTCTCCCTCTTCTCTTTTTGATGTTGTTGTTGTTGTTCTGGGGATGCACTCCAGGGGCACGGTATACTGAGCCATGTCCCCAGCCCTTTTTATTTTATTTTTTTTATTTTAAGATAGGATCTCACTAAGTTGCTTAGGGCCTTCACTAAATTGCTGAGACTGGCCTTGAAATTTTGATCCTCCTGCCTCAACCTCCCACGCCACCACACTCAGCTGTCCATCATCTTTTATTTTTTTTTTTAGCATTTTTTTTAGTTGTAGATGGATACAATACCTTTATTTATTTATTTTTTTGTGGTGCTGAGAATCAAACCCAACATCTCACACATGCTAGGCAGGCGTTCTACCACTGAGCCACAACCCTAGCCCTCCATCATTTCTTGAAGACTTACAATGGCGTCAATAATTTGCTCCGTACTTTAGGCATAATGTGCCATTATTATCTCTCAAAGATCCTCCAGAGACAGACTATCAGGGTCTGCATTTTACACAGGAGAAAAGGACAGCTGAGAAAGGTGGATGGTACCCAGACAGGAGTCAAACTTTGGGCCAGTCCCTTCCCCCAGCATTCCGTGTGTCGTGGTTCATTTTGCACTCACAAACCCCAGGCATGGGAAATGTATGTGTCCCCATTTTACGAACATGGAAGCTAAAGCTCAGGGAAAGTAATTTGGCCAAAGTCATGGAGCTGGTAAATGCCTATGTGAAAGTTCATTCCTGATTCCTCTTGACACCAAAGTCTCCAAGCATGTTACTCCATTCTTCCTGGGCCTCAGGGCTCATCCAGTATGTGTGTTCCAGAGTGTCACTTTATTGCAAGCCCAAGTGACCCTCTGGATTCTTGCTCTTGAAGATTGGCAGTTTATTTGTCATCGAGCTGTCTTCACCCTCGCGGGGATGTGGAATCCAGTCTCAGAATGCAACCAGCCTTTGCATTGGCACACAAACATCCCAGGTGCCATATAAATAAAAATCCGTCTCTAACAGAAAGTTTTTTTGTTATTTTGTCCATCTGAGGAGCTAAGAGGCCACCATATACTACCTTGACTACATCAGATTTGCATCAGATTTTGCCACTGAGGCACTTAAAGGTCAAAACAAGATGGGATGGGAGGAAGCATCACCAGCCCACAAACAGGTCCTGGGTTCACTATCTCCACCTAGGGACAATACTTGATCCGTCTGTCTTCTGCTTCCCTTTCTAGATCATCTTCTCAGAGGACTACCAGCGTGTGGAGGATCTGGCCTGGCACCGGAAGCACTTTGTCTGTGAGGGCTGTGAGCAACTGCTGAGTGGCCGGGCCTACATCGTCACCAAGGGCCAGCTCCTGTGCCCCACTTGCAGCAAGTCCAAACGCTCCTGAGGGGCAGCCCGCCCACAGCCAGAAACTACCAGGTCCCTCTGAGAAGCCGAGGCCATCCTCAGGAGCAGATGGGACAACCAGGAAGGAACATAAACAGTGATTTCATTTTTTCCAGTGGGAATATACGAATATTCTAGATTGAGTGGTGATGGATCCTTGAGGGTCAGTAGTTGCAAAACCAGAAATATTCTAAGAACTCTTAGAATGGGTTTGTTTTTGTGGTGGCGGTGGTTTCCCAGCTACAGCCTCCTAAAGACATAGATGGTACCCAAAGAGGGAGTCTAGGGGGAATTTCCCAGAATGCATTTCTCTCCCTAGTAAGCCCATCACGTAGCTGTAGGATGCGAGCTGTGTTTTGGACATGGGAGCTCCCCTGGGAACAGGCTGTGATCCCAACTGTCACTTGTTGTCTCTTTTTTCAAGTGGAATTTGGATTTTTAAATAAACAACTATTTTTGGCATGATAAATATATCAATAAAAGTTTTATGAAGTCTACAGATACCTTTATCCAATTATTTACAATACAGGGGTGATTTTGCAACATCCAGTTAACCCCATCTTCCTCAAAGCTGGTGCTAGCAGGAAATGCGGTAAATGCTCATGAGCCCCTTCATCAAATGTCTCCCGGGACTTCCTTTGGATGTACATTTCCCCAGACAGAGACCCCTTCTCATCCTGCCATCACAGAAACTTCCAGATCACTGATGGAAAACAGCTTCCCATTTCCTGGCACATCAGAAAGTGGCCTCCCAGGAACTGAGGAACTTCTCTTTAGCCGGGGACCCAACCCAACTGCCCTCAGAGCCTAGATGGGTACTAAACGAATCCTTGTGAAAGTAAGACCCGGAGAGTGTGGGCAGCTCTCAAACAAATCCACCTAAGCCCAACCAAAGGATGCCACAGGGGACATGGAAACAGTGTGCATAGCTCTTAAAAAATAGGGACTTATGAGAAACCTCTCAATTTTAAAAACTGCCAACTGATCATTGATTGAGTGAGCAAATGTCAGAGACCTTGGGGCCAGATTTTAACCTCTCTCTTGTGGTCTCTATACAGCCCTCGATCTAATTTCCTTCCTTTCCACAATTACTAAACAACAACGACAACAAAAAAATCAGCCAGGCGTGGTGGCACACATTTGGGAGGCTAAGGCAGGAGGATCCCAGGTTCAAAGCCAGCCTCAGCAACTCAGTGAGATCCTGTCTCCAAATAAAATATTTTAAAACTGGCTGGGGATATGGCTCAGTGCTTAAGCACCCCTGGATTCAACCCCTGGTACCAAAAAAAAAAAAAAAAAAAAAAACTACTTTCCACTGGGGATATGAGGATCAAATGACAAGAGTCCTAGATGCTCAGTCCAGACCCCAGGGATCTTTTTCTTAAATAGCTCCCTCTGTTGGACTGGAGTTGGCGTTCTGTGGTGGAGCACTTGCCTAGCATGCATGAGGCACTGGGTTTGATCCTCAGCACCACATAAAAATAAATCAAAGGCATTGTGTCCGTCTACAAATATATATATATATAAAAATTATAGCTACTGTGGATGCTATAAGGTGGACATAGTGATACTAATGGTGCTGTATTCCCAAATGGTCAAGACCAAACATAAAGATTCCAGACTGAGGGGGGACACTGGTGGCTGCCTGTGTGCAGCCTGTCTACACCCCTGTTCCCCTTCCCTTATGGGAAAGGCCCACTTCCCATTGCTTTCCCAGCATCCTTTTCAGTGAGAGAAAGGGCTCAGCAGTGGTCAGGGGCTTCTCCATCAGGTGCTTCTTTAGAAAAATGTTCTTCCTTAATGAAGAGAAGTAATAACCTGCTTTCATTTTTTTTTTATTGTCCATGAACCTTTATTTATTTACATGCAATACTGAGAATCGAACCCAGTACCTCACACATGCTAGGCAAGCACTCTACCACTGAGCCACAACTCCCTGTACCTTCTGTTTTGATAGAATTTCAAACTTAGCAAAAGAAAGTTAGAACAAAGAACCATTTGAGGACATTGCTAATGGTGCCTCATCGTCCCTGAATATTTTCTTTTTTCATTTTTATTTATGGGAGGGGTACTGGGGATGGAGCCCAGGATCTCACTCATGCTACTCTACCACTGAGTCGCACCCCAGCCCACCCCTAATAGTCCCATGTGTCATACCTACAAATAAGGACATTCTCCTCTGTAACCCCAATACAACCACCAAATTTAGAAATCAACACTGACACAGGTCTACCATGTGACCTTGACCATGTGACCTTCAGATCCAAGTCGAGGGTCACCAATGACCCCAGTAACATCTTTTATGATAAAAAGGTCCAGTCCAGATTCTCATACGTTCCATTTATTTGCCTTGGCTCTTTAGCCACTGGTCCCCAGTTCTTTCCTTAATACTCATGTGAGGATGTCCAGTTAATGAGTAGAACGTCCATCAGTTGGGTTTGTCTGATATTTGCTCATCCCGAGATTCAGGTCACTCCTTTGGGGAAGGAATATTGCAGAAGTCGTGCTGTTGAATTTTTGTTGCATCAAATCAGAAAGCACAGGTTTAATTTTAACTTTGAACACTGTGTATGCTAGTAACTGCCAAGTTTTTCCACAGAAAGTTACTTTTTTCTCCTTTTGCACTTAATAAGTTTTTTGTAGGGAGATCTTTGAAACTATGTCAATATCCTCGTCCTCATAAAAAGTCCACCCACTGATTCCAGGGTCTCTCAGTATCCATTGCTGTTCCTTCTTTTTTTTTTTTTTTCCTTTTTTTGGTACCAGAGATTGAATCCAAGGCACTTAACTGCTGAGTCACATCCCCAGTCTTTTTAATTTTATTTATTTAGAGATAGGGTCTCACTAAGTTTCTGAGACTGACTTTGAACTCACGATCCTCCTGCCTCCCGAGCTGCTGAGATTACAGGTGTGCACCACCACACCTGGCCACTGCTGTTTCTTGATTGAATGAATGATTACTAGGCCAGCTGCCAAATGCTGATATATTTCTAATCCAGTCATTCCTTTAACATTTATTAACTAGCATTCTATTATTTGAAAAAGCTCTACTCCCCATTTGTTAATTCATTTATTTATGTTGGTTTGGGATTATGAATTTCTTTATTATATTTATAACAAAATATATATTATTTATTATTTATAATAAATATTATTTAATACATATATTATATCAATTATAGACTATTACTATTCCTATTTATGTCAATCCATCAAGTCCCAAGTTTTCAGTTCTGCGAGTATTGCAACAAAATCGACACAGGAACATTAAAGGAGATTAAAAATCATAATCTAGAGCTTAGAGCTATACTGATATAAAATATCAATAATTATGGGACCGGGGTTGCGGCTCAGTGGAAGAGCACTTGCCTAGCATGTGTGAGGAACTGGTTTCGGTCCTCAGGAACACATAAAAGATATAAAATACAGAAAAATAAATAAAATAAAACATTAAAATTATTAATTTATTATTATTCATTATATTAAAATATTTATATGATATACTTATGTTTTGTATATAAATTTATTATAATGTCTAATTAATATATAGTAACAATATAATAATCATTGTTAATGATATTTACATTAATATTGGCATAAGAATTATAATTATATTGTTATATAACTACATTATATACTACATTTAAGTTTTTAAAGGGGTTCCACAGTTAGCCATTGGTCCACAGTTGGGTTGGTGGAACAGAATGGGTTAATTCTCAAATCATCCCAAATGCAGCCAAAGAAAGCACCTTCACGTCATCTGCTCTGCCTTGCGACTGTCCCCATCATGCCTTGGTCAACTGATATTCAGGCCTGACAAAGTGCTGCAGGCTCATCTAGTGTTTCCTTGCCCCAGCTCTGGAACTCAGAGGGTCACCGATGACCCCAGTAACATCTTTTGTGATACAAAGGTCTAGAACTTTCTTCTTCAGCTGGGTGTTGTTGGGTGGGAAGTCCTGAGACCATCTCAGAACCTGGAGAAGACAAGGGAACCACGCCAAGGAGCTGAGGACACCAGGACTTGGGGTTACCCAGATCCAGGTCCTCAGTTACACCACCAAGAGAGCAAACTAGCCTCCCAACTTGTTGTACAGGACAATCCCTGCTCTGAGAAGATTCATCCATTTTCTCATCACTTCACATCTCTTCTTCATATAGTTTTTTACCAGTAGGGATTTTTTTAATATTTATTTTTTAGTTGTAGTTGGACACAACACCTTTATTTCACTTTTTTTTTTTTTTAATGTGGTGCTGAGGATGGAACCCAGGGTCTCACACATGTGAGGCGAGCGCTCTACCGCTGAGCCACAACCCCAGCCCAACCAGTAGGGATTTTGTTCATTGCAGCCAAAAGAATTGTGATTGACACCCGAGATGTTTCACACTGTAGCTTGTGTGAATGATGCATCTCTGAAGTCATTATATTTTCCTAGTTCATTTAGACTCTTTTAACTGACAGGGAAAAAAATCATCAATTTTTATGATGCTCTCGTGGTATTGTGATACAGTCACGTGTCACTTAACACAGGCTTACATTCTGAGAAATTGCATTGTTGGGCAATTTTGGTGCTGTGCAAACATAGAGTGCATTTACACAAACCAAGGTGGCCCAGGTGGCTCACTCCACAGACCCTCTTGATGCAATCAAGAGACTTGGTCAACAGGAGATGCAGGAGGCTGCGGCCAGTGTAGCATGTCTAGTGTCCTATTGTAAATTTCTTTTTTTGGTGGAGGTAGTGGTGCTGGGGATTGAACCCAAGTGGGCTATACCCCAGCCCTTTCTATTTTTCATTTTGATACGGGGTCTCACTAAGTCTCACAGGGTCTCAGCTTTGCTAAGGCTGGCCTCAAACTTGTGATCTTCCTGTCTCAGCCTCCTGAGTTGCTGGAATCACAGGCGTGCACTACCATACCCAGCTTACAGTGAACTTTTTTAAAAAAGTAAAAGAAGTACATTCTAAAATAATGCAAATACCTACACCAATGATAGCGTGAGTTGTTACCAAGCAGTATGTGCAGAATGGTGTGTGCTCCGCTTTCATGTGACTTGTGAGGCAGTAGGCTGTTTGGTGCCAGCGTCACCACAAACAGGAGTAATGCAACTACGATG